GAGTGCGGGGCGGCGCGGGGAGGGCGGACGTGGCAAGCAGCGGAGGCGTCAAGGGTGGAAGGGGCTGCGACCCCGCCCTTACCTTCCTCCACTGGACCCCGAGGGAGCCCCGCCTCCGCTGGACCTGGAATCCCCCTCTCCCTTTTCTGGACCTCGAGAGACACTCCCCCACTCGCCGCCGCTGAATCTGGGAGCCTCTCCTGCCCCCTTCTGTTGGACTCCCTCCTGGAACCCATCTCTCCTACACAAGGGCCATATGCTCCTGTCCGCTGCCTGCCCTTCGTTGGGCATGTTTTCCGTGGGGGAGGAATTTGAGCTTGGTCTCCGAGTCCCTTTAGTAAAACTGGGGTCAGCCAGATTCTGCCTCTCCCGTCCTAGTTCTCCCCACCCTGGGGCTAGCTCCTTCCCTTCTGGGGTCTGCGGCCCTGAAACTTGGGTCTTTACCAGCCCAGGGATGGCAGAGTGCGGGATCCTGGTCATCACAGCGTTAAGGAAGGCATCTTAGGCCGGAAAGGAAGCAGGGCTGTAAACGCTCTTTGTCTTGGGTATAATAGGGGAGGGAGCCGCGCCTCACTCAGAACCCAGGCTGAATTCCCGCCCATCTCTTGGGTTTAAGAAGAGTGAGCAAGGAGATTGTAAAATTTGGGGGACAACCTGCTTGATTTTTTTGCTCTTAACCGCTGACAAAAACCAACAAAAGCTTTTGAACAATATTTGAAGTCCAATCAGGATTGTGAGTTTAAGTGATTTTTTTACCCTTTTTCTTAAAAAGAAAAAAGTTATTTTCTTCCTTGGCCAACTGGAGTGCTGATGTGCGGCATACGATGATATTACCCCAAAGTTGATACCTGTTGGGGAGCACAAAGACAGTGTGTGTTTTATGGAGGGCTGGACCCTCTCCAGCTGGGAGAACCACGGGTTTGCAGAAATCTTCATGGGAGGCTTCTGCTGGGCTGGGAGGATGGACCAAGCAAAGCTAGATGAAAGCAACTGCCAGTGAAGTTGTGGAGGAATATAGTGAGGGTCCAAGGTTATATCTCTCCGCAATGTCCTCCCCATCCACACCTCAACTCCCACCCCCGCTGCACCCCTGAGGGTTACACCTGTGAGTTGCTGTATTCGACACAAAATGCACCCAAACATTAGACAAATGAAAATAATAAGAGCTCAAATGGTATTCCTCCCATTTTACAGTTGGCTAAACTTAGGCTCAGAGAGGTTAAGGGAATTGCCCAAGTTCCACAGAAAGTGGCAGAGTTTGGATTCAGACTGAGCAGTCTGACTGTGTGCTGGGCTGAGGGTGCAGGCCGATGATGATGTCATCTCACTTAAGGGACCACTGAGTGCCTATTGGGAGAGAGCGTGTTGGAGCAGGGTGCTTTTGTCCTGAAGCTCCTACCTCCTCAGAAGATCATCCCTGCACCCCTCCCACCCCTGGAGATAAACTCTGTACCCAGGGTCTGGCTCTTGCAGGGTTGCACCAGAAGGAGCCTGCCTGGTCTGACCCTCTGATTTTAAAGATAGGGAAACTGAGGCACAGAGTGGTAAGTGGTTTGCCAGTGATCATAGCAGCTGGTTAGAACCAAGGGCTCCTTCCATCTCCCTGAACTGTTGGGAGTCAAGTCGTGTTTCTCATCGGTACTCTCCAAAATATTGGAGGTAGGTATCCTAGGGGTGTGTTGATCATCTGGTCCTGTCTCTTTCTTTACCCCCTCCTGGAATATATTGGCCCCTTCTTCCTGGTCATCACAGGCACAGCAGCACTTCCTGCTGGTGGGAGCTGCCACCATGCCCTGGTTGGACTTGAAATGCAGGCTGGGGTTCAAAGCTCATGTGAGGGCCACTCTGCATGCTGCTCTACAGGAAGGTCTTGGGACCAAGGAGGGAATTTATTTTCTATTTGATATGATCTTTGGTTTCTGATCATAAACGTGTCTCATAAAGGTGGCTGAGGTTTATGGCTTGCTGCCTCTTTAAAGAGTGTAAAAAAAAATTACCCTGAACTTTCTCTTCTACCCTTTTTCAGCATTTGTGCATCAGCTGAAACTTTAGACCCCAAAGGTGGCTAACCCAGCATTTCTCTAGGACTTGAGTGATAAGTGAATTCACCGAAAGATGCATATTTATTTCTTGCTGTAAATAGTAGTCAGGAAAATGTCCAAATTTTGCTTGTCAGCTTTTAACTCTTGCTTTTTGGTTCTAAATTTCTGAATCAGTTACATGGGCCAGAGTACCTGTCCTTCCTTAAAAAGTCTTGGTGAATCTGGGCATTAAGTAAATGTTTAAAAACAATTTAAAAAAAAACAATGACAAAACTAAGCCATACTTTGGAGAATGACTAATATTATCTTACTGTGCAAGGTACAGTGCTCTCCCCATCTCCAAGCTAAGTGGGGAATATGGGCCAGAATAAACTTCCTAAACTTTAATCTGAAGACTTCTTTATCAACTGCTTGGAAATCTTTTTTATACAGAAAACAGGCTAACATCTGAAGCTATTTTTAAGAGCCCATTATTAAAACCTCATGATTGGAAGGGTTAATTTTTTTAATTGAAGCAAGACAAGTCATCAGGTATCACCTGAAATGCTGTGTGCTGAGCCATTGCCTGAGGCAAAGCTAATTACTTAAACAGTTTGCTCAGGAGCATGTGACCCTCTTCATGGCATTGGTCCCCTGATGTGTTGCATGGCGGTTCACCCCAGAGAGTGACTGCTCCCCAAAGCAGCGCTTTCGCCGTCCCCTGGCTGGACCGCCGCCTAGAGACTCCTGGGCTCCCTGGCCAACATCTGCAGGTTAAACACCATCCAGTTGATTCTTTCCCTGGCACCAGGCTCCATGCCAAGAAAAGCGTCTTGGGCAGGCAGACACGGAGTGCTGAGACTGGGTGAGCCCACGCCTCTTATCTTCTCCCTCACCTCCTACCTCCTCCAGTCCGGGTGAGCTCATTTCATGCTGCCCTACTTTTCCAGTTTTTTTTCTTGCCAGCTTTCCCTGCTAACCCTTTTCACAGGTCAGCTCTTCATGCAGCTGCCTTTGTATTACCTTCACCAGGTCGTGCCTGCCCTTCTGCCCCACCTGCGGCTCTTTCCTCCCCCATCTGTGGAGCTCAGCCTGCTGCCCCGAGGCACCAGAGCCCACCATTCTGGCTGGATCAGCAAGGCCTCCTGGCTTGCTCATTTTGCAGTCTTGAGTTCCACCACAGACTATGAAAGTCTGTCCAGCCTGGCATCCTGGCTCCATGGGGCCCAGAATGTCTTCCTTGCCCCTTCCCCCAGCACTGTGCTAGAGACACATCAGTGTTAGAGGTTCCAGCTTTCCTGCCTCTGCTGTGAGCTGGGTGAGGACCAAGGAGGTTATCCGAGTGAGGCACCCACACCGGTCCTACGTGGGGAGCTCTCAGGGGTCCGCAGTGCCCTGGTTATTTCTGCGTTTCTATTGTTGTTGTTGTTAGGTGCCATCAAATTGGTTCCGACTCATAGTGACCCTACGGACCAGGGAATGAAACGTTGCCCGGTTGTGCGCCATACTCAATGTCACCGTGATGCTTGCACCCACTGTTGCAGTCACTGTGTCAATCCATCTTGAGGGTCTTCCTCTTTTTAACTGACTGTGTACTTTACCAAGCATGATGTCCTTCTCCAGGGACTGATCCCTCCTGGTGACAAGTCCAAAGTTTGTAAGACGTAGTCTCGCCATCCTTCTAAGAAGCATTCTGGTTGTACTTCTTCCAAGACAGATTTGTTTATTCTTCTGGCAGTCCATGGTATATTCAATATTCTTCGCCAACACCACAGTTCAAAGGTGTCAGTTCCTCTTTGGTCTTCCTTATTCATTGTCCAGCTTTTGCATGCATATGAGGCGATTGAAAACACCGTGGCTTGGATCAGGCGCACCTTAGCCCTCAAGGTGACATCTTTGCTTTTCAACACTTTGAAGAGATCTTTTGCAGCAGATTTGCCCAATGCAATGCACCTTTTGATTTCTTGACTGCTGCTTCCATGGGTGTTGATTGTGGATCCAAATAAGATGATATCCTTGACAACTTCAATCTTGTCAACGTTTATCATGATGTTGCTTATTGGCCCAGTTGTGAGGATTTTTGTTTTTTTTATGTTGAGGTGTAATCCATACAGAAGGCTGTGGTCTTTGATTTTCATCAGTAAGTCTTCAAGTCCTCTTCAGTTTCAGGAAGCAAGGTTGTGTCATCTGCATAACACAGATTATTAATGAGTCTTCTTCCAATTCTGATGCCCTGTTCTTCATGTAGTCCAGCTTCTCAGATTATTTGCTCAGCATACACGTTAAATAGGTATGGTGAAAGTATACAACCCTGACACACGCACAAAGGTGTGCATTTCTATTACCCTAGTGGAAATGGGTGTCTGTTCTCCACGATAGATGCTCATTTGTTGTCTCCTGGCCCAGCATTCCTCCATCTCAGGAGCTGAGGTGGTGTCTGTGGCTACTGAGCAATGTCATTGGACCACCAGTGTACCCAGGAAGCCACTGCATGCTTCTGGCCCGTGGACTCGAGCACTGTGCTCAGCGCTTGGCCTTGGCAAGCCTCACCGGCAGGGCTCCTCCTGAGCCATCAGGACTGGGTTTAGCTTGCCTTTGTTTCTTCAGTTCATCTCCCCACAGATGAATGTGCAGGCGCATGTGAGGGACCTGTCCAGCAGTGGCATCCCCACAGACTGGGAAGAAGGGGAGCTGTCGGAAAGATGGAACTCTGAGTTCTCTCTGGCTGAAGCATGTTCTTTCCATGGGATCCTTCCTGTGTGGCTTTCGTCTCCAGCTCCTGATTCCCCATGAAAGCCAGAGGTGATGCCACTTGAGGGTCCTCGGAGTGCTGAGGCTTGTGTGCACTGTGAGGGTCCCCAGTGAAGACCCTGTGCAGATTTGAGGCCGGCCACTGGTAGCGGGCGGGACGCATTGCTTCCTGCCCTGAGTGGCCACAGCTGATGTCTCTAGGGTGTTTCCTGGGAGGGGCTAGGTTGTGTGGGACCCACTGTCTTGCTGATGGCTCCTGTGAGAGAGGCTCTGTTATGACCCCATTCTACAGATGAGAAAACTGAGGTTTATAAGGTACCATTACTGCGCAGAGCCACCCGATGGTAAGGTGAGGTGAGGATTGAGCTCAGCAGCTGGCCCACCCACCAGGGAATGCTCCAGGGAGACGTGTGTAGACAAGGGTTCCATGGCTGTGTTGCCTGCAGCTGTGGGCACTCGTGCCCCTGGGGCTGAAGGTCAGGACAGAGGCTGCGCTGTTTCTCCCGGGGACAAGCAGAGCAGGTGAGCTGAGAGGCACCTGAGCTTTGAGGCTGGGGTTACAGGGCTGGGAGCTCTGGGCAGCCCTGATTCCCACTGACTTTGTGGCCTTGGACAGGTACTCAGGCCTGTTTGTGCCTCAGCCTCACTCTCTGTAAATGGGAGTGACCACAACACCTGCTCCAAGACATTTGTGAGGATTCAATGTGTTAAATCTGTGTGAAGATTCAGGGACATCCACCCCAGGGACACGCCCCACTCTCCCTGCTGCCGCACCCTAGGAATGCCCCGGCCGCTGCTGTTTGGATTGTAGGAGCCTCAGTGATGGTATTTACCTAACCCTGCTACAATGCACACCTCACTCAGGTCCAACTTTGGAAACGCAGGGTTGGGGGTTCTAGCCATAAACCCTGAGCCAGAATTGTGGTCCCAACCTGGGGAATGGGAGGAGCTCTGCAGAGGGAACCTGGCAGAGAGGCCTGTGGGAAGTTCTGGGTTGGGGGCACAGGGCAGGTGAGCGAGGGCTGGGTGCTGGCCAGGACTGTGCAGAGGGATGGGCACCAGGAAGCCCGAGGTACTCCTGTGAGCTGGGCATGTTATGTGCAATGTGGGTGTGTTTGTAGATTGCATTCTGATTCAGTCTCACCTCTGAGCAAGGATGATCTCACAGGAAGACAATCCCTAGGCGAGACACCTTGAAGCTGTCCGGCCATACTGGGCTCACAGGTGTCTGGGGTCGGCTTAGCCACATGGCCGCCTGCAGTGCTTTAGGAAGAGGGACTTTGTATTTGAGTGTGGGGTTCTGGGGGCACATTTGACTTTTGGCTCATGTAGGGATGCAGTCCTGGTGTCTCTGCCACCCTCAGGGCCTCACCCTCCGTCTGGGGCTGGGGGAGCACAAAAAAGGGGATCTCTGCCCACACAGGGTAGAATCTTCCAGACCTGTGTCTTTCCAACTCATCGCCGGTGGGCGAAGGTGGGCCAGGTGTTGCGTGGCAGAGCTGTGCCTCCATGGACTGGTTGGGCAAGTCCTAGGATGACCATTTAAGCAAATACATTGGGGTCAGCGAGGAGCTGATGAGTGTCAGTCAGCCTGCAGGAAGACAGAGGGTTTCAGCCCTCATCTTAACCTCTGACTCAGCTGACCAGTTTGGCCTCCAGGTAATGGAGGGAGGCTTCCTGAAAATGGCAGAACAGCAAACGCAAAGGGCCCTGGAGACCCAGGCCTAGGGAGAGCTGTCTTCAGCGCCACCTCTTTCTCTAGCTTAATCCTCATTGTTTTGGTGTCTGTGTCCACTGAAGTGAATTTAATTTGTATCCTGTCCCCAGGGGTCTGCAAAGACTGGGGGTCTTCAGTGCACTTCCTCTAAATACTTCAGCTTGCATGCTATTGACTAAACCAAATAAAGCAGACCAGTTGCTATCAAGTCTAGAGAGAGGAGAAGGTGAGAACAGCTGAAAGGAGGGCACATGAGTTTCCTACTGTTGCTGTAACAAATAATCACAAATTCGGTGGCTTAAAACAACACAGGTTTGTTATCTTGCAGTCCTATAGGCCAGAAGTCTGAAATGGGCAGAAGTCCAGGTGTGGCAGGGTTGGTTCCTTCTGGAGTCTCCAGGGGAGAATCTATTTCCTTGACTTTTCCAGCTTCTAGAGGTACCTGTATTCCTTGGCTCATGGCTCCCTCCTCCGTCTTCAAAGCCAGCAATGGCCAGTTGAGTCCTTCTCACATCGAATTACTCAGACTCTCCTCTTCTGCTTCCCACTTCCACATTTAAGGACTCTTGGGATTACGCTGGGACCTCCCAGATGATCCAGGATGATTTCTTTAAGGTCAGCTCATTAGCAACCTTAATTCCATCTGCTACCTTGATCCCCTATTACCATATAACGTAATGTATTCACAGGTCCCGGGAATTAGGACATGGGCGTCTTTGGGAAAGACCCCAGGGCCACAAGGTTAAAGTGGACACCTATCTGCCCACTGGTAATTCCCTCATAGCCTCTGTCCCTGCTTTGTCATGTCCCTCCATCCATCTTATTTTTTGATACGTTTTAAGGGAAATTGGAGATATCGGTGCACTTCAGACTGAGTACTTCAACGTGCATGTTATTGACTAAACCAAATAAACCAGACCAGTTGCCATCAAGTGGATTCCAACTTATGGCAACCTCATGTGTACAGAGTAGAACTGTACTGTGACCTTTCAGAAGCAGATCCCCAGGCCTTTTTTCCGAGGCACCTCTGGATGTGTTTGAACCGCTAACCTTTCAGTTAGTAGTTAAGGCTTAACTGTTTGCACCACCCAGGGACTCCTGTTATTGACTAGAGTCCAATACTTGTTTGTAGCTGTTTTTTCTGATGTAAAGTTTAGACAGTGAAATGTGTGAATTTTAGATGTGCGTCCACTCACATACCTGTTTAACTTTGGCCTCTGCCATGATGGCCAAGGTTTCCATCACACCTGGGAGCTGTAAAACATCTCCCCCTCCTCCCACTCCAGATTCCAGTCCAGTAGGCAGGGCTTTGAGCCAATTCAAACCAGTTCAGTCATGGCCGACAAAGCAAAACTGGAACAGACCCAAATTTTTAAAATTTCAGTGATCCAGAACAATAACTGGAATGGGAAAAATTACGGGTCAAAGCCCTGGAATGGGAGACTTGGA